AGTGGTCAGAAACATACTGTAGACTGTCTAACTTCTTCAAGCCATCTAGGTTTTTGGAAGAGAGAGCAACCAAAGACATCCTGTTGGTAAGAACCTTCATATTTCTATTTGATTCATTGAGATTCTTCAATGGAACTTGTCATTATGGTAACCCCTTTCTCATGCAACAAGCCCTCATTCAAAAGAAAAAAAAGGGGAAAACATCATCATTATATAATTTGACTGTAGAATAGGTTCAATGCTGGTATAAACTTTTCCCCCATTTGAATTGATTCTTGTATGTGTCAACGTGAAGGTTCACTTTTCTAACCCTGAAAAACTCATGTCCAACTTTTCTGATCATATCATATAATTATATGCAAAGTCAGTGCTAATATCTCTCTTCTTCCTGCAGAGTGCACCTGTTTCGACCTCTCAAACCAAGATCATGTTTGTAAATTACACCTTCGTGCAGGTTCATGTTTCCCATAATCATGCTAGGTGCTTTTCTAAACATTGATTTCGTTCATTACGACAATAGTTGAAGTTTCACTTCAAACAGATTTAGTTTAAATAATCGTCCTAAAGTGCTTTCTAAACATAGTTATCATGACAGTGTTAATGCAAGAAGATTTAGTGCCACAACCCTCATCAGGTACATTTTGTCCCATCTTTTGGTGTTTATTCCTCAGCTTGATAAAATAAATTGGTTGTCTATGGTTCTCTCAATGCAATTCCAGGTTAAGATAATAGTACATCACACCTACGCATAGGGAATTATTCCAATTGTTTGCTACTTGCTATTATCAAATGTTACATTTCAAAGACTAGCTATTTTCTGTGTGAACTGAACTGCATTGATAGAGAGTGCCTAGCGGCTAGCATGTGAAGTGCATGTAAAGCAAGCAAGGCAACCAATTGTTTGTGAAGAGTGGGACGGGGGGATTAGGAATTTCGGATTAGGACTGCAAACCAGCCAAGCTCTCTCTCCAGCTCACCACTTAAAAAGTTAAAAGCATGGTATTAAAACTATTGTTGAGCCGGGCAGTTGACCCGTTCGACCCAGGAAGCCGTCACCTATCCGGTTCCATTTTTTACCTGGCCCCGATTTCCCCAAAAAAATAAATAAACAAATAAACTGTTGAATCAGTCAATGAGCCACTGGCCCAGATGGCTGAATCGTTAACCATTTGACCCGGACAACAGTTTCTGGGTCATTTTTATTTTAATTATTTTCATGTTTCTTTTTTTAAAATGTCATGGGCTGATTATTTGGACCAAACATTTGAACCATTCGACCTGGGAACCAGTGGCCAAAGTGATTGCATTTCCAGTTGATTTTTAAACCCTTGCTTTAAAGTTTTAAATTGATCGTCAAACTTAGTCCATTAAATAATGGGTTTTGAAGTGTTTGGGCATATTAAGGCCTAGATATTAAAATTAAATAGCCAACCTAATTATTCTCTTCATTCAATAGATCGGAAGGGCATTCATTCGGCGGTTTCAAGCAATCCATTGATCTTATTGTCTGATTATCTGCAGCATCAATCGCGACTTCCGTTTAGTGGAGCTTACTGGAGCCTCAAATGTACGTAGCACGTCCTTAGTTTGGTCAAACCGGATTTCCTGTTCATCTCTTCCTCCTCTCCTCTCTCTATTAACCCATTTAAATGTAGGTAGAGATCTATTTTCCCAAAAAATAATTTAGTTTTAAAAACTTGTAGTTAGTGGAGGATTGACCTTTGTTTGACAGATGGATAGGGATAGGTGGCCTGATTTAAGTGGGTTAATAGAGAGGAGAGGAGGAAGAGATGAGCAGTGTCTCAAGTGGTGAAGCGTATTGTGATGATTTTGACCCCAATAGATATTGCCCACAGTATCCAATTCACCTCACAACATCCATATGGAAATCGTCTCAAAGGAAAAATTAAGGCAGGCTAGACAAAATAACCCGAATAACTAGAGACAAGTTCCTAATGCTATTATAAACATTAATGAATTTGCAGTAAAATGTTCCAATAAAAAGCTAAGAAGTTTTACGCTCTATAAGCTAAACGTACAAAATTAAACGGAAAAGATCAGAAGGTTTTAATTTCCACCCATTTCTGGCTTCTAAGATTGCATATCGATAACGGTTCACGGGGCGGTAAAAGGATGGGAAGCAATTAGCAAGTGGTGGCTTGACACAAATTAACTCCACGAGATGAGATATGGATGGGAGGCGTGTAGTGTTTTTGTTGGGATACTGGGATCGTATTTTCTATTTTGATGAGAAATAGTGTTACAGTGTTAACAACTTAAGTTATGTTTGGTTTGAAGGAAAATATAGGGAAAGAAAAGGAAAGGTAGGAAGACATTTACAAATCTCGTATCTTGTCTTTTCCTTCGTTTTTCTTCAAACTAAATATAGTCTTAGGCTCCGTTTGGTTTATAGGATGGGTATGATAAAAAGAAAATGTTTCAAAAATATTTTGTTTTTCTCATTTGTTTTGAGTAAAATAGAGTGATGGAATGAAAAAAACGTGGGATGTTTGATTCCAAAATCGTAAATCTAGGATCGCACCGAAACCGTGTGGCACCCCCTCTCAGCCACTCCCTTCCTCCCTCTCTCCTTTCTTCTTCTTCCGTTCATCGTCTAGAAACTCCCCTTCCCCGTTCGAACCCAGAGCGGTGGCGGCGGCACTCCCTCCCTCTCAGCCACTCCCTTTCGTCCTTTGAACCCAGAAGCAGCGCTGATCGAGTTCATTTCTCCGTCGCTCCGCTCCATGCTTGTGAATTGGCTCTGGATTTTCTCTTCCTTTTAGCTAGGTGTTTTGTTAGTCTAACATCTGACGGAGTTTTATTATGGTTTGTTCAAAATGAAAATGTTTTACAGCTTAGTTGGATTAATTTTTGCAATGTTAATGGCGATGCCGATCGATTCATTTCATTCTTTTCTCTTTAACTTTTCCTTATTCTCATTTTCTTTTCATTTCCCGTTCTTTGGCTGTTGTAGACTGTCTGTGACACCCTTGCTCTTGATTTTATACATCTAGGTTTGAGAATGGAAGTTAATTGATCAGATAGTGTGGATACTTGTGCCTAAGGCGTTCACTATATACAACAAAAACAAGGAACCTGATGGTTTAATTCTGTTGGAAGAAAGAGTAGGATCGAAATAGAATTCTGTTTGGGAAATTTCCAACAGTTGAGATCTTCATCTTCTTCTTCTTCTCGACCTACCGGTAGCTGCTCTTGTTGTCCCTCCTTTACCAACATTTCAACGACAACAACACCATTGTTTCAGAGAATCCACACCAGGAGAATTCCCCTTGGCAGCTAACCCCTCCATCGTTCTCCATGTCCTCACGGACTGTAATTTGGACCCTCAAGATCTTGCGAAACTTGAGGCAAGTTCCCAGTTTCTGTTGTGTTTCATGTTGGTGAAACAGTGTTTTTCTCATTATTTTTCCATATATAAAATCAAACAATAAAGGTGTAAATTTTTACATTTTCCCATTCCACTCATCCCATCCAAATCTTCCCGCAAATCAAATGGAGCCTTAGGGTTAATGGATCGGAAAAAATATAAGAAAGGAAACAGCCACATATACAAAACCTTGCATAATTACAAGAATGGATGGAATTCTTTGCCAATTTATTACAAAATACTTTTTGAAGACTTGAAAATCTCTGATAGGGTGTTTGGTTCCGTGGGCGTTTATCCAATAAATGTTGTCACATAGGCGCCACTTTAGCGATTCCTCTCTCATGTTATTTCGTACATGTCAAGAATGATAAAAGTGGACTTTGGTTTTTGTACATGTCTACTGCTTGGAAAAATTATTTTTTAAAGCTTTCACAAATGGTTGGACATTTTTTCACCGTTACGTTGATATGGTGTCTATTGCTTAATGGCATTTAGTTGTCATAAATGATTATAATTATTACCTTTCTCAGTTTTACAAATAAATAAAGTGTAAACATTGAATGAAAAAATGTAGACGAAACCAAAAACATACCAAGTCTTACCTAATTGCACAGCCAAGTATTAAATAAAAAAATTGTATGCTTCACTAGTCCACTTTCTCAATGACCGAGTGACCGTCAAGGCTAAGCCCTTGAGTGAAGCGGTGAGATCATGTCACACAGTATTCCAAAATTACTTGTTGGATAGTAGACAGGGAACCATGCCAAAATTACTTCAAGGTAGAAACGAGACATATATAAGACCCTATTCCTATTTTCTTACACGAGAAATGATTAGCTGAATGCAGTAGCTGTCAATGGTCAGTAAAACCAATGATAGAACTCTACAATACTAATAAAATACATAGAACCAAGAACCATTTAAATTTGAGAGAATGATGGATCAACACAGTGTCAGAATTTTTAAGCCCAAAGTACAGTTGGGATAAGTGTCAGCTCAGAATTGATGCCAATTCACAGATGCGCATTGATGTATAGAGTGAGAATTTTTTACATTTTGAATATTTATAATTTTACTGTAGAATTCAAAAATCTACATTGGGCCTATCCGTACTTTTCTGTTTAAATTTTCACTGTAGTCTTCATATATTTCATCACCGGCATGGGCATTACCGCATTATCACTGGTTCTATAACCTGCTGAGCAACCATCCGCTGAACAACCATCGTGTTCACTGTTGAGTTAATCCGAATTCCATATGAGAAAGCAGGTCCCAATTCTCAAACACAACGTAATGAGCATAATGTTTTCAGCAAAAACTAAAAAAATTTAGATAAAAGGGGTAAAATGTAAAAAACTTGCTTGAAGTTTCCCTTTTAAGTTTTAACAAAGCCCTCCTCGTGGTTTTATAAAACTTGCAGTTACATCCCTTCCAAGTTCCAGCATTGTCTTGGACCCATGCATTAGTTTTTTTTTTTTTCAAAAATATACATTTCTCTTACATCTATCAATTCAGATAGAGATTTACTAAAATACCCCAAAAGAATTTGATAGAGAAAAAAAAAAAGACAACGTAATGAGCTTATGTTCTGTAAGAGTCTTAACCCTCAATATCAAGTGATCAACACAGTAAAGATTTTATTTATCTGGAGATCTACTGCCCACACAAAGGAAACATTCACCGCCAAGGAAAACATTCCACCTTTCACAATGAGGGTCAAGTAAAATCACCTCCCCGTAAAATAAGCCTCTGGCTTAACAAAATTGGACAAATAAATAATAGAAAAAAGAAAAAGCTACCACGCACCAAGATGCACCGCAGATGAGGCAAAAAGAACTATGTAGAAATAAAATATATATTAATGAAAAAAAAAATGGACCTGATCGTGATTGATTCTTCAACCACGGCGTTCTAACAATGAGGCTCAAAATCAGTGGCAGCTGAATTGAATATTGGCGGCTTGGCCAAGTATTACAAAGATGTAATAACATGCTTAGGGCCACCCCCTTCTTTGTAGTCTGTCCTCTTGCTTACCCATCTTTTTTAAGTATCCTCTTTTTCGATCTTTGGCTTTACATCGCCATTTTCAGAGGGCTGTCTATCCCTTGGCAGCACACCGTTATTAGAAGTGGTGACGGCACTAACTGCCTGGTGTGTTGTCACAGTGTTATTGGAATTGCAGTTGACAGGACCTGTTGTCTGGAATGTCTGAGCATTGGGTGGGGCAAGAATTTTTACACCGGTAGCTGCACTCAACTGTTGGGTGTCAGCATTGGCTGAAACAGGAATTTTCACAGTGCCATTGGCAACAGATTCCTGTGGACAACCAGCCTCGGTTGTTCTGGCCAATGAAGAACAATTTGTTTCTGTAACATGAGAGGTAAAAAAACACCTTTTTCAGATAACAGAGTTAATACAAGTTTACTATAAAATAATGAAAGATTACAAAGATTACAAGATCAACAACTGTAACATCAAGAGAGAGAGAACCTTACCTTTAATGCTTGCACAAGCAGTGAGCCTTCGAAGATAATCCCGGAACCCTGTCAATATAAGCCTTTCCTGCTCTGCATACACCTCAGTCATGCCCGGCCCAAAGGGTGACCGCAAAGGTGTGTTGCGCCCATGGGAAATTGCCCCATTGGGTGATGGAGCAGTCGTGAACATTGAGTCTTGCTCATCGCACATCAGTGCAAGCGTCCCAGGGGACATTGGTCGTCCTTTCTGCATGTCTGCACCATCTGACCCAGAATCATCTGTTCCCATTTTATCAGCTTGGGTACCACTTGAGCGATCATCAGCCACAGCTTTATGAGGTTCAGGTTCTTTCTGACTGTCCTTGTCTTGAGTTGAAGAAGCAAGGGAACTGTCCAGCTGCTCTTCTCTCTCTGCTTGCATCTCTGTTATACTGCTCTTGTCTGCAAAAATTAAATTATAATGTTCAAACAATCAGACCAGTATTTGATCAAATTATGTTGCATTGCAACTATACCAACAAATCCACCTACACCAACACCCAGGCATACCGCATACCCACAAATATGATGCGTAAACATTTCAGCAGAGAAAAAAATCAGCAATCATTATTGTCATGCACTACCCATGATTTGTTATCAATGTCTATAGGACAATCAATAATACCATCACGGTATCCCCACCAAGTAAACAGTGTATGTCATTATCACATGCGGATTTCAGTAGAGAAGCAAATAGCAAGGGAAAAAAATAGGACATATCATTAAGGACAAATATAGGACTCAGAAAGAGTAATGTGAAAGGTTTTAGTCAAGAAGGGAATCTATTTAAATGACCCCACCAAGTTCTAACACATGCATTGCAGTTTGAATAAATTAAGACCTTCAAAATTTTCAACCTTTTAGCTTATAAGATGGTCTATTATCTATTTTGCACAAGTGGCAATGTCTTTCTGGCTAAAGCCTGTAACATAATTACAAGGTAGAAAGAGGAACATGGGAAGCCCTTCTGGGTTCCAAACAAACTAACCATGTTTAAGATTCCTGTGTTATTTAGACAGACTTTTATAATGTGCGTGTGCATATATAAACATAAGGTTCAAGAGAAACAGTTGAGTACAAAGAGAAAAGTGAAGCATATTCAAGGATAAAAGGATAGACTAACTTTTATAATGTGTGTGCACATATATATAACATAAGCTTCAAGAGAAACCGTTGAGAACAAAAGGCACATATTCAAGGCCAAAAGGACAGATCTTAGGCATTCTAAATTCTAATTATTTTTAGGGGGAAAAACCGTCAAAGATTGGCAGAAAAGAATGTTATAAGCAAGAAAAACTTCAGCTTTGCCTTTCTGTATTCAGTTAGATATGTGAAAATAATCTGCAAATCATTCAACAGTTCAGAATTTCAAAAACCAAAATATTAATATGAAAAAACAAGCATAAGTTTTAATAGTTCCAAAATATAAGTGTTACTTATGATCCAGACAAACTAATAAGTTGGCATTAGATAGCTGTTGGATGGACTAATAGACAGATGACATAGTTGGGCAGGCAAGTAGCCCAACACTTAATATTTAGCTTTGAACTTAAGAGCTAATGTAACTTTTTTTCATACAACTTCTCTTCTTACCCTTTTTCCAATAAGCATATACCTGAAAGTGTCTTAGCAGCTTCTCCTGCTACTACTACTAAAAGTGCACAAAGCTCCTTCACATCCTCTGGTTGCACAATGTCTGCTAGCAGAGACCTTCAACATGACCAACAGTAGTTAATTATTGTAAACAAAAGCAGAAAGAAAGCTTCAATAAATTGGGAAAAGGTCATGACAAGAAAAAAGCCTACCTGTATGCAGATTTTGAAGAGCCCAATGTTGCAGGGTTAACAACACGAGGAACAGGGACAGAAGACAAGGGAGAAGATGTGGAAGCCTTTAGATGATTTCCCTGATAAACAAAAGCAAGCATTATGCTTAATCAATGTGGTCGTAAGTTCTAAACATGGAAACCAAGGCCCAAGGGCAAACCAAGAGGTGGTTGTGTAGAATAATAAACCAAAAAAACTGACATACTAGCAACTGAGAAAAATAAAATGCAAAGAATCTGTATTATTTTGATAACCAATGCCAATGCAAATAGAAGTCCAAGTCTTCCAATTCACAGCTAGTTTTCAGATGGTTGCAATGCAAATAATACAGAAAAATAAAATGCAAAGAATCTGTTTAAGTACCTGAGGGAATTGTGCAAGCCTGTGAACAGATAGGTCCTTGGCTGTGTTGCAGAATAAAAGTTCTGGATTTTTTCTCTTCTTGGACGTTGGAGGTGATCCATAACCAGAAGATCCTATAGCACCAGTAATGGCAGCATTGGCTGCCTGCTGGATGTAGGCCATAGCATTTCCATGATCTCCATGAAACAGAGCCCGTCTCTCTTCACTGCCTTCAAAGTTTTTGCAATCCAAACATTTACAATTTTCAGAGCAGAGAATGTTGGCCTGAAAGCACTCACAATACTTCTTAAGGCATCCAGATTTCTTGCAATGGCATCCTTTGTTGTGCTTTCCCACCATTGGAACCTCCCCTGTATCCTCCTAGATTTATTTCAGTGAAATTGCATGTCAACAAACATATATAAGAAGGGTAAATCTATAATGCCAGAAAGGTATGATACTGGAAGGGCTTTGACCAATCAAAACCCCTTGTGAATTTTGATGAACACCAACTGATTGGTTACCACTTTTATGATTCTGTTTGACTGGTTATAAATTTTTTAAATATCATGCCTTTCTGGTATTCACCGGACAAGAAAAAGAAACATCATCTCACAACAGACATAAAAACCCCAATACCCAGCAATACACCACAACCATACAAATTACACTGTAACAAAAGTCCAGCATGTATTTTCAAACAAAATCATGTTAGCTCCATTGAATGTAGTCATGTATGACTTTTCAAAACAAGCATCTGTTCTTTTTAGCAGAGATAACAAGGTGTTATACTAATTGATTGATAAAAAGAGTTATAGCCGCAATTACAAAAGCAAATGGGCCCAAAATAAATCAGGGCACAGAGTTGTTGCTATACAAAAAGGATCTGTAAATGCCTGTTTTTTGCCAAGATATCTGCAACAGAATTAAACTCTCTCGGTATCCAATTGAAGGAAGTGCAGGAGTTAGACAGGTCCTTTGCTTCTGCAAGATAATGCTCCAATCTCTACAGACCTATAGCAGCCTCGCTAAGCCAGTTTGTGGTACTAACTGAATCACAACAACGAGCAATCAAGTGAATCCGTGCTGCTAAGCTATTCTCAGTCCTGAGAGGGCTTCCAAGATCTCAGCCAAACAAAGCTTGGCTGAGATCTGACTGGAGTTGAACCATAAGAGAAAAATAGATCAGTGTTTTCAACCCGCTGTTGACCCAGACAGTCAAATTTTCACCCAGTCATGATTCTGGGTCCAGTTTTCCTAAAACCCATTGGACCTGGATGGTTGAACCATTGACCCATTCAACCCAGCCACCAGGTCACAAGTTACACATTGTATGTGCAACAAACTTCCAGAGGCCATAAGTTTAAACTTGGTTGTCCAATTGGGGTAATCTTTATGTCGATTTTGGGTAACTTTTCGAGATTTATGCATTCCAAGAGGCCGATGGCACCTTGCTCTGCTATTTTTGCCCAATTTTTAGCATTTTATAAATAAAATATAAATTTAAACATAAATAACACACACACACACACACACACATATATATATATATACATATATTACATAGAATATAATTATACATTATCTTATTCACATAATACATGTTTAAACACACATATACGGTTCAGGTAAGAAATCCCTAGCAGACCCATTAATTGAACTAATGAAGTTATCTGCAGTCTGATATGCCAGAAATAAGAAACTGCTAGTAACTTAAGTTCAAGATATATTAGGGCTTGATTAGGTTTGACCGGAGTGTTTCAACCAAGATCTCTGCTGGGAGTTTTTCTATGGAACACCACCCAACATCACAAGGATCATATCAAGTATATAGTATTGACCAAGGTAAAACCCCTTCATGGAGGGTGGGAAATGAAGTTGCATATAATGCATGAGATAAAAGGAAGCAAAAATACTTCTAGTAGCATGCATGTGAACGGTAAAAACAATGAGATACGAAACTCAAAAAGAATATTCAGTCACCATATCCCAAGAAACAGGCTCACAATACCTAGTCACAAATTTCCAACAATCAAAAACCAATTGACATAATGCAGAATTTTGTTACAAGACCCCATTTCAGTGGTAATAGCAATAGGCATTAATCCTGGAATTATATCTTGACACTTTAGCTGGCAGAAGCAAACAGGTAATATTCTACTTCATCATTGAGCAGAAACCAATATCAGATATAATATTGAAGGTTGCTAGAGAAATCAAGCAACTAAACCATAAATGGGGTCTTGTAACTAAACCATGGAAGACGTATTCACTAGTTTGAATTTTTTTCATTTACTCTGACCATGAAAGAAGTTAAAATGTAACCAAGTAGTCAATAAATAAATTGACTTTAAAGCTCAAGAGAGTCAAGCTACATACCCTATTATCTCTAGTTCCATGTGGACTGCTAGCAATCTTTGGTCGGAATGCATTTGGATTTCGCTCTAAAGTAACTTCAACAGCCTCCTGTCTAGCAGCCTCATTCTCAACATTATTATAACAATTTGCACAATTGCACCCATCACAGTAAATTCCAGAAGCAAAGCACTCACAGTACCTGGTCACATATTGCCATTTTTAACTTCATATCAATAACATAAATTAGCAAAGCAGTGTGCTTCATAATGTTCAGATCAACTCAACATTGCAAGTAAATGAACATGATTAGGAAAATAAGGACCTTTAATCCAATAAAATAATGTAGTATAATTCATTGTTAGGAACATCACATAATAGATACTCCCATAAAATTTTGTAGAATGCTTACTGTTTAGCATGTTTCTTCTACTAAAACCTATAGTTGTTTATATATGTAATTATGTATTCGTATATGTACATACATACATACATACATACAAGTATTTATATTGACATACTGACAAAGTATTTTACAGTTCTGAAAACCTATTAAGAATGGCTATAGGGATCCTATATTCTAAAAAGTGTCTAGATTTTACATAATAATGCAGGCCCACTTATCAATGCAGCCAACTTGACCATTGATAAGTAGCTTTATTCCTTCAATGGAGGCTCAAGAGTTAGGAATTACATTGTCCACCACAGAAATAAGTGGAACTTCTTGTTACTCTAGCCATCCAACATAAAGAAAAAGGTAAAGAATATGCACCCCTAAAAGACCCAACATGGCTATAGGGGTTCCAAGTTCTAAAAAGCATCCAGAATTCACATAATGATAGGCCCGCTTATCACTGCAGCAAACTTAGCAGTTGATAAGCAGTCATTCCTTGCATAATAACTCCAGAATTCTGAATTTCATCATCCATCACAAAGAGAAACATAACCTATTTCTCCATTGCAAAAGAAAGGTAAAGCAGAAAAGCAATCTGGAAGTTCATAACTAACAGAAAATATATACAATAGTTGTTTTTTGAGGCCAATTGTTGAGGTATTATAAATTATGTACAATTACAGAATCAATTCCAGATTTGGAAATACATCTTTCCTCTACCCTGCTAAGAATGCATGCAAAGAGGTGTTATACTTACAACTTCAAACAACGTGAGTGTTTGCAATTGCATTGCTTTTGTTTCTTTGGAGTGCCATCTTTTACTTCAAAGCCAGGCCTCAGGCGCGACCTTGGGGATTCTGGCTTTCTAAAGAAAATACATAAGAGTGTCAGAGTTAGAGACCAAATTAAATATTTAAAATAGATAATTGTAAGCTTGTCCAGGGATTCCTACTTAATATACCAAGCAGTGTTACATGGACACAACAGACACAAGAACCATAAGCCAATACATGGCTAAGGATCTGACTCAGAAAGACAAAAAAAAACAATAACTTGCTGGTACATTTATAGAGAAATATAAACAATTCAAATAGCCCTTATTTTTTCTTAGTTCTAAAATTGTATACCTAAAAAAGTTCCAAAGGTAATAACTTTGTATAGAAAAAGTGGCATTCTGCTCACATTAGCTATTCATTTATGTTAAAGAAGCAAGGAGAGAAAGGAAAATGCACATAGAAATATCCCTCAAGAATCCAAAATGTCTGACATGAACAAATCATCCATTTAGGAGAGTCCATGCAATACAGCACTAATATCAAGTATTAAAAAAAAAAAGTGCTATATGCTTAACCCTAAATATTTCTACAAGCAAGCAGGCAGACTATGAGCCTTTCCAAGAACTGAAGTTTCAAAGAGTTAATAGTATATTAAAATAGAACCAAGAAAAGATCAAAACAGCACCAAGCATCTATTTAAATTTCAACTTTAAGATATCCACAATATGTAACTATGTTCATTAGAGAAAGATGTATGTAGGTACTGTATGTCTTCTTTTGTTTCTCAATAGATGTTGACATTCATAGGAATTTCTGTGGGAAGAGAGATGGTTCTGGGTAGTTTCCCTTTTTCCTAGATTTTAACTGCCTAATGAAAAAGGTAGAGCTAACCCAATTGATTAGCAGTTTGTCTTTTTCTCTTAATCACTTTTACAGCACTTCCATGAAACCAAGTTTTAATTGTACCAAGAGCAGCTAAAGGAATTTTTAGGCAAAAATAGGATCTATATATGTTAGATGCCCAAGCCCATGAAAAGTAGGAAGAGTCCTTCACTTATAAACATATGTATGTATCTTACACTCACATATGCTAGACAAGCAACCCTGGGAAAGTTGAAAAATCCCGCTGCTTATACAAAGAAACGTATATATAATTATGTGACATACATCTTGTCCTTGTATCTGAATATATTTCTATATTCCAACTGTTTATCAATTGACTGACTTGTGCATCTTAACTTTCACCTTCTTAACTTAAATATTGGTGTGATGGACCCTTTCTCATACTACACAAGATTGATTGACATAACAGGTAAAGACCTTAACTCATGATCTGAATCATAAATCCCAAGTGTTTCTATTTGAATCTTATGTTTGAATCCTTTTCTAGAAAAAACTTGCAGTTTTTGTTTGAATCCTATGATTTGATTCACAAATCTTACAAAGTATGTGGATTATTTGACTTTCAAGTCAAAGTTGATTATATCATCTTAGGTTTCTATTGTATAAAAGGTAAATTATATTGTTTTTAGGTACATATATGGTATATACGAATTAGAAATAGGGTAGAATCGTTTTCCTATATATATTTAGCATTTTAGAATATCTAATTTTAATTTTAAAAAATTTGTAAAAATAGAAAAAAATTTACGATTACGCTTTTCAGAATATTGGACCATAACTCTTGAAGAGAACCTGGCCTCTCATGGAAGAAAGCCCTTGCAGCTTTCTTCTAATAGGTACAATGTCCATGTTATGATGAATAGAAAACTGAAGGATCTCTTAGCTTCAAAGTTCAAGATATGAAGAATAGAAAATTCAAATAGGTACAATGTCCATGTTAGATATTTCAATTTTTGGTGTACCATGTTGAAACCTTATCTAAGTGGTAACCATCTCATGTATTTGTAACATTGCCCTCTAAAGCTAAAACAAAGCTCATCTTAATTGGCTTCTGTCACAAGTTCAATCATTTTAGACTGAACTCTTATCCTTAAGAAATTCCAAAATATGAGGATTGATCTTGATAAATAATAGATTGTGAATATCTAAAATATGTGCTTATAGTATCTTCTGAGAAGAACTCTTTGTTGATGCCTCAATACTCTTGTAAATCTTCATTTTGATATATTAACGGAAAATTTCTGGTCTCAAATCCAAATCCACTTAATGTAAAACATGGCAACATTTCTTCTTTCTACCACCTCAATGTTATAGCTTAGAAGAGCTGCTATGTAATTGCAGACTTGCAATCCACAAGAGAGGTACAAGGATTGAAAATCCAAATCCAGTTAATGCCAAAAAGAATAATAGTTATTCTTTCTAGCACAGCATCACCTCCAAATTATAAGAGCTGCCAGGAAATTAGAGACCACAAGTGAAGTCTCAATGATGAATTCCCTCATGGGCTGTGTATCCCAGTTGTAGGCATAATTTATTTATGATCACCTATTCATCCAGTACGACCTCCAAATTAGAAGAGTTTCCAAGCACTTAGAGTCCACAAGGGAAGTCTCAAGGGGTCTCAAGGGTGAATTCCATCAAGAGCCGTGTATCCCAATTGTTGGCATGTATTATTTACGATCGCCTATCCATACCACAGTAGGCCTTCTCAGTTTGTGGGTTTAAAGGTTTGTTGACATTCCAAATGGGGCCCATCAGAGAAAAAAATACCTAAATATCTTTGCTAATTATGCATGCCATGTCTTCCAGGAATTTCTTTGTAGGAAACATCATACACCGCAAAGCAATGAAATGGGAAAAAGAAAATATTCAAAGAACCAAATAACCAGTAGATCAGTGTTATTAAAGTGTTGACTAGTAATCATCAACCAACTAACCAGTTGAGGGCCAGAATAGTTGCATGACTAACTAGTTGATTGATATTTATGATGCAGTCACCTAGGATAATCAAGCATATAGTGGTCAACTAGTGAACCTAGTTGACCACAGTTATTTAAAAGCTTTACTTGTTTGTGTTTATCCCTACTTGTTCAAAATAGTATACTATATGCTTTTATTTTGTTATATGCATTTTGTTGCTTTAATTATTTTTTATGGTATGTGGTTGGCTAATGGTATATAAAGTAGAAACAAGGCATAAGATAAAAGAAGAAAGTGGAGGAGTTCTTTTATGTTCTCTTCCGATTAATGGCAGTATGCTGCTATGGAGTTGCCACAAACAAGGGGCACATCAAACAAGCAAGGTTGCATTCCTTTTTTATGTCTGCAAAATAGACTATAAACTAAATGTTCTATAATAGTAACTTATTTATGAGGTTGCATCAAAACCTTAAATTTAGAGCATATCTTTTTAGTCAACAAATAAGCACCTAGTCTTTGACCAGTCATTGCATTGATTAGAGAGGCCAAAACAACCAGTAATCACCTCACCGCATTGATAACACTCCACTTATCTTCTAAACTTGACTAGTAGGATCTCTATTTTAAGAAGAAAGAAGTAAATGGTTAATGCAGTATATAACCCAAAATTAAGTAGTAGGTACTCTAGGTTTGGGAACAAAAAACAAAAAAGACAAAATAGTTAATATTTACATTTAAATATTAGTAAAGAAAATCATGCAAGATATATGTAAATCATAATTCAATAAGTGACCTAGAAGAATAATAATTTACCAATCTAAACTGTAAGGCACCACTTAAATAGCATACTGAAAAACTCATATCATGAAAAACTGTAATCATTTTGTATATTCTAAGTTCGAATTACATTATTTCCTATAAAATTCAGAAAGAAACAAAATGTGAGTTCAAAAGATAATTTGTCTATCAACGATCAAAAACCAGGTTCTAAACAAAATCATCGAACGTATGTAGAACAGACTAACGCATTGCACTGTTTCTTCATCACTCGATCAAAAACCAGTTTCTAAACTCAAGTACAATATAATAAGACAGTTTTAAAAAAAGAATATAATTTGATGTTTGGTGCATTTCCTAATCCATCTGATAATAGCTTTGTGTTGTAACAAGATGTGCCGACTATAGTCCGGTAATTGAAAAAACTGAGAGAGAGAGAGAGAGAGAGTGAGAGAGTTCGAAGATCCCTTCATCAAAAATTTAGAAAAGTAAAGAAAGGGCGAGAAAAATAGCTCTGCAGAAACTCCAAATAAAATAGTGTAACTGTAAAGATAAAAAGAATCAAAAGAAAAAACAACAATAGCAAAAGCAGTAGAAATACAGATTAACAAAAATGCTGGTTAAATTGCCCTCCAAATTGAAACTTTTACAAGTTTAAACTTCAAAAAAAATCAATTAAACAAGATAGCAACTTCCCGCAGAAAAATTACAATAAAAAATGCATAAAACTTACACCACGGGCAACGAAGGACGAGGATGCGGAGGTTGAGGCTGCGGCGGCGGCAGTGAGTGTTGCTGTGGCTGCTGCTGTGTTTTCGGTTGCGACTGCGGCTGTGGCTGTTGATGTATATGTGGTTGTGGTTGTGGATGTGGATGTAACTGTAATTGTGGCTGTGGCTGCGGCTGTGAATGCTCCGGCAAGACGACAGCCGTCGATACACTGCAGAAAGCCGTGAAATCCAGCTGCCTCGCGAGCTTTTTCGGCGGGAAATCCGAGGTCGCCGTAGTCGTTCCCGTTGTTGTAACCGACTGGAGCTTTTTCGGCGGGAAATCCCCGCTATTACCTTGCTCCATCGTCTTTAAATTTGAAAAACAGATAGAGATTGAAAATAACACAAAGACGAATTCAATCAAAGAATTTTTCTTCAACCACCAAATAACCCCTCAAAGATCATCTCAAATTAGAGAACTTTCGGATCGGGCAACCTGTGAAAGATCGCCGGGAAATAGATTAAAAAGGGGAAACAGTGCCGTTACGCAGCTACAGATTAAGCCCTGGTATCGGGCGAGGCAAATGCCGACCGGAAATTGCCGCAGAGTAACTAAAATCCAGCCGAGTCGATCCGTACGGGATGAGACAAAAAGCAAGGAGACGCAGAAGAGATAAGATTTTTGCTGAGAAAATATGTTTGAGAGAATAAAATTGAGAGAGAAGACAGAAGAGAAGGGGAAGAAGGGAGGAGCTAATAGCCTTCTTCTCCTCCCTCTCGAGCTTTTGAAATTTCAATTTGTAAATATTGGACGGTGATATGAGGATTGTGGCCCCATCTGACGGTATGTGCTAGAGGGGTTGATCTGACGGCCAAAATTCATAGGAGAATGGAAGCTGGGTTGGTAGACGTTGGATCAAGGAAGATATGAATTTTCAAGGAAAGTGGAGCGAGTGGAAAAAGTGCAGATGGAATTTCTACGTCTTTTATGATTCTGATTTTTATCACAGAAAAACAAAAAAAGATAAAATTAAAATTGGCGCTAAAAAAAATGCCACTTTTGGAGGCGATTGCACTTGGATTGGTGGTGAGGCCTATTGAGTGTAGACACGTGCGGCGTAGATTGTGAAATTGACACGTGGGAGCTAGTGGATGAAAAGATCTGAATCCCAATTCGAAAGTAGGTTATCATAACTCTGTAATCTTCTAAAAGACAAATTGTCGATGGACCAATGCTAGCGTTCCAGGCCGGCTGCTCACGGTTCATGGTCATGGAAGCTTTAAATTACAAAAGGTCAGAATTAACCACCCTATAAAGCTATTAAGGCGGGCAAATGAGGTAAAATCACAACGAGCCCGACCGGATCTCCTCACAAGTCTCAACAAAACTCGTGCAAATACCATCGCGAGAGCACAGTATCCATCCGCATATTGGGAATATCTCCCATAATTGCATGGTTCCGAATCTGTGACTCAATGCCGTGTATGTATTTGCACAATTGTTTGCTTTTAGGAAATACAGTTTCTTTATAACATAAAAAGTGAAAATTGCTGAAACATCTTTTGAAGCTCTTAATCATTGCTGAAATCTCCCCTGAGGGTAATTGCAGTTACCTCTCTTAAACTTTCTAACATAATTGTAAATAGATTCAATAGACATAGAAATGTCAAGTGCATTTGCTATTGAGACTAATTTCTAAAAAAAAAAACAATACAAACTTTATGAACAATAAAAAGATAGAGAATTTAAAATTGCATCTTTACATTTGAACTTTTGATTTGAAAGAAAAATTTGAAAAATAAATCAATTTCAGAAAAGAGATTAGAAGGACTTGGACTAGTCATTCATATGAAGGGGGGTTATTTTTTTGGATTTTGAGATGGGGGAAAGTTGGTCAATGGGATTTTAGTTCCATTGACAAAGAATACCATGTTCATTTTTTCAAATTAATGTAGGACCAAGGAAAGTTTATTTTCCTAGATACCCATCTCCTAAGTGGGTAAATAACTTTCTCACCTATGAGTAAAGTTGCTAACACTTGAATGGGACAAAAATACCACTTTTAATAATGGATTTTTATGACTAATATGGTCATTACCTTATTTATTTGAGAAATAAAAAAACATGGGTAAATGCACCTATCCGGGTAAGTGTTTCCTACGAAAAACTTACCTTGGGTAATTGCATTTACCCGGATAAATAACTTACCGAAAAACGAACGGGGCCGAAGAGAAATTTTGGAAAAATAAAATTTTGTCAAAAATAACTACACGAGTATTTTAAACATTTTCATGCCTTTTTTAGAAGATTCTAACAATGAACTCCGCTTGCAACCATGTTAGAAAGTTCAAGAGAGGTGATTGTAATTATCAAACTTCAATGAAGATTTCAGCAACAATCAAAAACTTCAGGGGAGATTCAGCAATTTACCCCAAATAAAGAAAAGAGACTACTCCAGGTAATTTGTCTAGAAAACCAATCATCATGTTGTAGATGCAAGAAACACAGTTGAAATAGGAAACCATTCCGGAATACAGGTCCTCAACTACCATGGTCGAATCAATGTGCCTTGCCTCCAACACAAAAGCCCTCCCAAATGGGCTCATAATAGAGTTAAAATCAGCCCCCCACAAGGAGGCGCCCCACAATGTCCCACAGCACATTTCAGCCATGTATTAGGAACATTTCATGGCTCATCATTTCGTCTATAACTGTTTTCAATTCATGACTAGGATGTGCTATGGGACGTTGTGGGGTGCCTCCTAGTGGGGGACTGATGTGAACTCCTCATAATCAATCAGGAGAATAAACCAATATACGGCACACTAGCATGTCAATGTGTTCCTCGTGATTGGCTATGTAGAAAGTGATACACAGCTGCGTGAGCAACATATTTGCTGCCATTTGAGAGGGCCTAACCTGACCCAATTCCGGATTTTGCACAGGATATGCCTACAATTTTAGGTTGCGGGCTGAGCTTGAGCCAAAAATCTCGAGCATGACTTAAACTTGGGCTGAGGCTTCAGGTAGCCCAACTCGACCAAAGCCAATATGAATAAAAACATATATTCATGAATCATATTTATATAAAAAAAATCTAATTATATTTATGTAAATATAAAATATCTATGAAACATGTATATGTGCATTTGTAAATGAAAGTTACATGTATTTTAAATCAATTATACTTTTAAATCGGGTTATAAAGCCTAATAAATAATGGTTATACAAAATGTATTTATAAATTCTTTCAAACTCAACCAACCCACCCAACCCGACCAAACCCAAGTTGTGTTGAAGTAAGCTCAAGTTAAGCTAAGGTTGGTAAACTTGGGCCTAGCATCGGGTTAAACCAAACCTAAACCTGAGGTTTGCATATTTAGGATTGGCCCTAGGTTGATCTTCAAGGCTTCAACCCACCCCAATCCGCCTAATTAAGTTGCACCCTTATGAATGAGACAGGTTTCCTGGAAGCAAAGAATCATGAAAATACCTAGACAACACAGCATTCAGACACACATGAAAAATATATCTCCCAATGTGTAAAAATATGGATAAGTTGTTCACATTTGAACCTGAAAGTCCAGGAAATTGGTTGAAGGTGGAAATGAGATTGATGTAACCGTTTATGGTCACGTATCATTTCTTTTGGCTAAGTAACTCGTCATCTCGTCTGTTCCCAAGTGGTCGATGACTCAGAGGCTGAAGTGGAGCTCCTGAGTGTAGTGCAACCTGGCTGCTCCCTGCAGGGATGATTTGCTCATCTTTGTAGACGGCGGGAACTGGTTGCCTGCAAGAACTGAATCAGAGAACCCGGGGTGGCTTACCCGGCGGGGACACTCCAATGGCTAAGTCAGCACTTAATAGAGAGTTTGAAGATGATATCAGAGAAGTAGAGAACTAGAGAGCAAAGACTACGCACCATTTCCCTATCCCTTCACCCCTGGGGGGTGAGGCCTTTATATACTGAAGTCCTCGTGGGTTTAGTGGAGCAGTTCCTGGATTCCCGTTGTGATGGGACTTGTTTTCGTGTTAGGTGGGGATAAAGCCACCAACCGGTAAGGTTGCCCATTTTCGCCTAAATCGGGGAGTGGATGAGCTAATATAGCCGTTACAAGTCATAATCCCGTAAAATGCGGGATACGGTGGTGAGCCCCCCGGGGTTGTCATGCAGTGGTCGAGCTGCCTGTGAAGTGTCGAGCTGTCTGTAAGGTGCCAGGCTGCGTGATGGCGAGCTGCTTGTGAAGTGTCAAGCTATCTGTAAGGTGCTAGGCTACATGATGGCGAACTGCCTGGTGGTGAGCTACCTGTGAAGTGTCGGGCTGATCAGGTGCCGAGCTGCCTGTGAGGTGGCTAGTTGTCTAAGTTGCCAGGCTACATGATGGTGAGCTGCCTGTAAGTGGCGAATTGTCTATGGCGAACTACTTGTAAGTGATGAATTGCCTGTGACGAGCTGTCTACTTGTCACAAGGCTGCACCTATTTGTTACGAGATACCAGGTGTCACAATATCATTAAAGGGTCAAATCTGCCCTCAAAAAGAACCACTCCTCGTTCATTCCAAAATATTGCCAATCACTTATTCTTATAATTTGCTCTGAATTACTACTTAATGCCTAGGTTCGTAGTTGACTAAACTAAATGGAATTAGGAATGGATTAAACTGGTTCTGTTGAGGTTTGGAAGTATATGTTATTACACCATGAATTTATATACAAATATGAGGGATATTTCAAATTTGCATGTGAACGTTGTGTTTTCATGGTGTTTGCACGATTTTCGCTTTCAGGAGATAGACCACAATTTTTATTGGTGGTGACAATACAATGATTCCCCTTTTTTTATTTTGGTATATAAGGTTGATACTACATCGTATTCGGATAAGTTTCAAGAATTACCATTTTAAAGGAATTTGTGCTTTAGGATTTAAAAGTGTTTTGCCTTTATATAAATGTTTTTGAAAACCGATTCTTACTCATGCTCAAAACCCGTTTAGGTTCAATTTGTTTTCTATGGCTCAAAGCTCAAAATCAAGAGCTTACCCAATGGAGTCTTAATTATCAGGGTCATAAAAAACAAATTGAGTTATAAAAGGGATATTTTCTCAAACCTCTAGAATTTCCTGTCTATGTCTAAAACCCCTTTGTGCCATAGAAGTGCAAAACAAAGAATGAATTTATCGGGCATGTAAAAGGATTTACACAAGAGATATGAGAAGTATAAAACAAAAGGTGCAGTCAGAATCATAATTAAAAATCATCAGAATCAGAATTGGAATGGTCTATTCCCATAGTCTGTTTGATTTAGTCAGAATTTGAATTGGAAACGACTAGAATGAGACTTCATTCTCAAGGGAGGGGGAAGGAATGGTCATTCCCTCAAATGGGATAATACCATTCCACCAAGAATGGGGACAGGATTCTGATTCCACCCAATCAAACAGTTGGAATCGAAATGGCCCATTCCAATTCTGATTCCAAACCCCTATTCCCGTGAACCAAACAGGGCCCAAAGATATATCATATGGGTATTTTTGGCATGTAAAAAATAAAAACATGAGAATTACAAAACAAAGAATGGGCAATTAGTAATTATATTTGTACCATTTATTACTTAACAGACTGCCTCACACACAAGCTTTGTATGGTGGAGGTTTAAGCATTTTTGTCTAGGCATTGTAGTCTTTTTTTTTTTTTTTCTGGAGGGGGGGGAGATCAAGTTGTTTCATTAAGAGAAAAGTCACTTAAGGTTAATAAATTTGTATT